CGCGGAGCCCGCGCCCTCCCCGGCGCAGACCGCCCGCCTCCAGCCCTGTGCCCCGATGGCACCCCTCGAGGCAGCCGAGCCCCTTAGAGTGGCCGTCAGGCCTGGGCGGCCGCAGGCCCTCCTCCACTCTTTGGACAGAGCCATCCGTCCTAGTCCGCCGTGATGAAGCCCCTGGCCCGCACGTCCACACCGGGGTCTCCGCCTCCCGGCCCCTCCTAGACCTCCTAGGTCACACAGGTCACCCGGACAATAGCCGGCTACAGCCGGCGCTTCTTCTCTCTCCTCCCTGTGGGAAGGGGTCTGGCCGGCCCCCGCCCCCGACAGTAAACCTTTTCTTGTTCTGTGTGCCTGGATGTCTGCGTGGTTCTCTGGCAAAGTCTAATTAATATTATTTAGCTATCACCATGCCAAATGCCAGGCCTATCTCCGAGGGTCACCTGGTTTTTCCTTCCCTGTGTGTCTGGTCTAGAGGTACTGGCCTTCTGGCTGGAATGGTTCCTGGGAGCTGGAAGCAGTCTGTACACTCAGCCCCTCCCCTTCTGCAAGCGGTTGGATGACCTCCGATGACCAAATGAGTTTCCCTTCACCTGATTGTAAAACAAATCAAACTTCCAGAATGGAAAGTGAATGTCTTTGGGGCCCAAGGTGTGAGGGACAGAGGGGGAGTACATACAAACAAACCACTTGAGGGTGCTGATGGAGGAGACACACGTGCAGGCCCATGCACACACATGCAAGTGCACACAGACACCACTAGCACTAGCTCCCAAGGAAGACCTCTGGCTGCCCCCACACGCCCCCAGGCTCAGGGTCTTTCTGGAGGTAGAGTGGTTCTACCTGGCTCAGGACACCGCGGGGCAGCTCTTGGGATACAGTTGGGGTCGGCTGTGTACAGAATGCCAGTACTCTGGCTGTGTTGCTGTCTTTAGTGCTGAGCACAGTCTTTACTCTCCCTGAGGGCTCTGTAGCCCTTCTCATTTTCCAAACTTCCCACTCCTACAGCCAGCCCTGTAGGGCCAAACCCAGAGCTGGCCAGGCCCTTCCTCCCAGCTCCTGTCCTACACCTGGCCATGGGTATCCCTTCTGATCATTCCTCTCAAGCCCCCTGAGTCCTGTTCGAAGGTTCTATCAGCCGTACAGATCTTTGATAGCCTCCTAGATGTGACCAACTGAGGCACAAGGGAAGAGGACCTTTGTCACAGTGGACATGGCAAGTGCACTGTGACTCAGAGACATGCTGGGGGGAGCACCCACCTTTCAAAATCACACCGTGAGATCATGGGCTCCCACCTGCCCACCTCACCCTCCCTCCAGCCTGTGGCCTGCAGTCCCCATCTCCTCCATACGTATGCTCGCAGACACTGGCACCAACAGCAGGCTGCTTGCCAGACCCTTTCCATCCGCTCTGCCTGTCAGGCTAGGAATAGGGTAGTACCTGGCCACCAGGCTAAGTGACTCCATCCCAGCTGAGCATCCATCTCAGAAACATTATCCTGTGGGCCAGCCAAAGAGACGCTGACTCAAAGGTCAGAAGAAGCCTTAGGGACAGGGTCATGGGTCTTGCCAGCATGTAAGGACAGCTGGGAAGCCCCCACAGGTACAGAATGCTGAACAAACTTGGGCCTTTGTGCCAATCTGGGAAAGGACCCCTTCCTCTGTACTTCCTGCAGCCCCGGCAGAACCCAGGCACTCCCCAGGGCTCCGTGCCCAGGTCCTAGCCAGCAGCATGGGCGGTGCCATGGACTGCAGCAAAATAAAAAAAGTCCTGGTGCCTGGGGATGCCGGGCGAGCAAAGGGGAACCGAGGGCTCTCTCTGCGGTGTTCCCGGTCAAGACCGTGTGTGTGTGTGTGTGTGTGTGTGTGTGTGTGTGTGTGTGTACTCATGTAGACATGCAGGGGTGGACAGGATAAAGAAAACCTCATTCAGGTTCAGGAAACCTGATCCTAGAACAAGCCTATTCCTGGAGTCTCATTTTCTTTGAGGCTGTCTTAGGCTCAACACCAAGAGGCAGTTGTGAGCTCCAGGCCTTACCAGGGCCTCTAGGGGTCTCTGCATTTCCTCTAAAACCCAGGCATTGGGACTGAGGGCTGCCCAGACCCCTTCAGCCTGGACTCCTCCTCTCACCTCCCAAATTATGGGGTGCCTGTGAGGGTTCTCCCAACTACCCAGAGACCTCAGCTGCTGTGCTCCTAACTCAGGCCAGCTCAAAGACCAGGAAGGAAGCAGGACCTGTGTGCCCAGTGGGCATCCTCAGTGTCCTCCAGCTTCAGCAGACCCAGATTCAGTTCAAGGAGGTGAGACAATCTTCTTTCACAGGGATGCTTGGCCCAGCCGGTCTGGAGGATCCATATGGGCCTTTGGCACTCACTCTTCCCTGTGGATGCTCCCTTTGCCATCTGGGTTGGGCATCTTGAAGGTGTTTAAGATGGCCACCTCTGTGTCTGTGCCTGTCCACAGGAGGCTTTTAGGGTCCCACCCTGCCCCAGGGCACCACACACTGCTCACAGTGTCCTTCGCTTGGAAAGCCTTTCCACACCTGAGCCCCAGAAAGACCCTGTCTTCATCACCAGCCAGGTCTGCAGCTGGGGGCCAGTCCTCCAGGAGCCGGAGGCCACCAACAGCTCAGATAATGGGACCCTGAGTGGCTTCGAGGTAGCTGACACACTTCATGTGGTAGGGAAGTATGGGTTTTTCTGTGAAACGCCTAGGTTTTTCCTGGCAACCCTTAAGCAGCATGCAGGTATCTGGCTCTCGAGGACTTCCATGCCTGTTGAAGCATCAGGAAGTCACCATTCAGCCTCTCTCCAAATAGGTTCAGGAACACAGTGAAGTTGATAGGCCCCGAGGCCTCCTGGGGAAATACATCCAGCACATCGTCTCTGACACTGAGTTTGCCTACTGCAGATATGGAGGGCAGGGGTTCACGGGAGGGCATACCCCAACTCTACAGTCCTTGTTGACACTGGAGGTGTCTGCTGCCAGGCAGCATCCCATCTGCCATTCTCCAGCCTGATCCCAGAGCAGGCTCGCCATGTGCAGACAAAGCGGGAAGTGGGGAGGGAAATTCTCAGCCCAGGTGTGCAAAGCAAGCCCTGGAATAGGCCAGCTGACTCCAAACCAGGAGACAGAGACATTAGCTGCTGTGGAGGACCAGAGGAGGAAAAGAACTGGGATGTGTTCAGGACTTATTGTATGCTCAGGTATAAGAAGGCCAAAGGAAGACCAAGTCACTGGGAACCCTCACCCCAGGGAGAAACCAGATTGCTTTCTGTGTCTTAGAAGCCCCTTGCCTCCCTCCCTGGGCTGTGAACAATGTGTCCCATGGTGTGGGACAGGCTGGGATGACATGGTGTCCATGAGAGCATTAGCCCCTCCGTGCAGTTCCTGTCCCAAGCCCATTCCAGATTCTCTGTCCACCTGGAATGCTAGGGTGTCTGGGCCATGCTTCCTTTCCATTGTAGCTGCTCTGTGAGGCGTAAGTGCCTTCCAGGTCCTCCTTGTCAAGAAGCCCCCCTGGTTCTGATCCGTGAGCGTGAATGCCTAGGGATCAAGGCCAGGCCTGCTCCTGGTGTTGCTCCTGGTGGCCTCCTTTACCCTGTCCTGGGCCCCATTCCCTGTGACCCACTCCTCAGCCCCACAAAGTTTGTCAGCTACCTCGAAGCCACTCAAGGTCCCATTATCTGAGCTGTTGGTGGCCTCCGGCTCCTGGAGGACTGGCCCCCAGCTGCAGACCTGGCTGGTGATGAAGACAGGGTCTTTCTGGGGCTCAGGTGTGGAAAGGCTTTCCAAGCGAAGGACACTGTGAGCAGTGTGTGGTGCCCTGGGGCAGGGTGGGACCCTAAAAGCCTCCTGTGGACAGGCACAGACACAGAGGTGGCCATCTTAAACACCTTCAAGATGCCCAACCCAGATGGCAAAGGGAGCATCCACAGGGAAGAGTGAGTGCCCGTTCGCGCCCGTTCGCGGAGGGGCTGAGAGGGGCTGTAGCTCCGGACCCTACAGTCTGTCCAGGGGCCCTTACCCAGTGCGGGGCCTTGAGACACTGCCCAGGGACCATGAAGGCCCAGTTCTTGGGGCAGCCCTGCTCATGGGGGCACCCATGGCACACTCAGTAATTGTCCCTCTGGCCACACTGTCTTTTGCCTTCTGGAGAGAACCTTTGGACTCTCAAGTAGAGGGTTCCCCCTTGCTGAGCACTGGCGATAGGGGTAAGAATTCTGGCATCCTGGGTACTTGCTTCTGACTCCATCAGACACCTTCCTCCAGGCAAGACCCCAGGAGAGATGTGAGTCAGAGCGAGTGTAAGTGGAGGTGGGCTCTGTGCCTTCCCCCAAGGCGCTGCAGCTGCACTGATCACCTTTCTCAGAACAGCCTAATTCAGCTCCTTCCCTCCCTTGCCTCAAACTCCCGCTGATGTCGCAGGACGACCAGATGAGAGCAAGTGAGGTTTGTTCCACCCCAGCCCCTCTTGGGGCTTGGAGGGAGGTGCCCACCTGCTCGAGACGGCAGGAAGGCAGAACGAGCCCCTCGCATGGGTCTCCCGGCAAGGCTGAAACCTCCAGAGCCTCTAGGTCAGGTCTGGACGTCACTCTGCAGCCGGTGTGATCTGCCCCTCCAGCTTTGTGATCTCCTCTGCCTCATATTGTACACTGCCCTCTCCCACATGCCCCAAAGCCCGAGCTCAAGGGCCACAAACAGTCATAGTGGAGGAAAGCTAGAGGCAGGGGCAGGCCTGGGCCCAGCCTGTCTGAGAGGCCAGCCTAGCCATGGCGGCCTGGCCCTAAGCTGCGGGCCCCCTCAGCCCCACACAGAAAGGAGCCGCTGCTGGCTGGAGTTAGGTTCCTGTATTTCAGCCGGTTCTGAGCAGGGAGCCTGGTGAGTCTCTCACCCTGACTGCCACCCTTGCTCTTGGGTGGGTCAGATGCTAGAGTTGACCTCTACGGACACTGAGGACAGCCCAGTCTACAAGGCGCTGAGCCACGTGCCCACCCATGGGGAGGGGGAGGGGTGATTCTCCCACCCCCAGGGCTGTGGGCGGTTCAGTAAACATGGGTGTCCGCTGGAGGGAAGGGGTACGGGGTCTCGCATTTTCTGGTGCCCTGCTGCTCCTCCACAGCTCAGCCTGGCCCTCCATCCTCCTCCATCCTCCACATCCTCAGAACTGGGCTCAGGTCTGGTCACGGGTGAGCAGATGTGGAAAGGCTCTGGGGTGGACTCATAGCAAGGGCCACCCCAGTCTGGCTGTGCTCTGGCTCCTAGGACCCCTAACTTATGCAGCTCCCTGTCGGCCCTGTTGATGGTGACAGGATGCCCCTTCTCACCCAGTTGCCCTTGCACCGCCCCTCCCTACAGCAGCCACAGGTCTGGCCTGGGGAAGGTCCTGCACCCAGGCAGCACCCCCTCCCCCGCTCCGGAGGGAAGTGGCCACCCCGCGATGCCTGGGCCTGTGCCAAGAACAGGTGGCTCACGCCTATCATCAAGCCTACCTCTTCGTGAGTGCATGTTAGCATAGCTGGCCCAGTAAGGTTGACCCAGGCTGCCTCTCCCTCACTAGATATCTCCAGTCACCATCTCTGCTAGTCCTGGGGGAAGAGGGCCAGGGGCAGGGGCTTCCTGCAGGGTCCCGGCTAGGGATGCTAAGCTGGGAGCCTCCAGGGGCAACTCTGGAGTGGGCCTCGTGATCCTGGGCTCCAGGGTATTGGTCCTGGCTGGAGAGAGCCCTTCAGACTCAGCCTGCAGGCGCCGGTACGGGGTGTGGAAGAAGAGGACCAGGACACACGTGAAGACGGTACACAGGCCAGCCAGCAGCAGCAGGGACACTGGGGACACAAACACAGCTCTGTCCACCGACATCCAAGCAGCCAGAACCCCTGGCTACCGCTGAACTTGTAGGCAAAAGCCCCGTAGTTCTCACTCAGCTGACCTCACTGACCATGACCACAGAGTGGCCTGGAAACAGCCCTGCGCCCAGTCCTGCAGCCCGGAGGGTGTTTAGACTCAGATCTAAGCGCTGGAGCTCTGTGTTGCCAGGAGGAGGACTGGGTGGCAGGTGTGCAACACCAGCATTCGGCTCTGCCCACACCCATCTCTGACTCTGTCCTCTCTTCTGATGCTGTCTCCGTGCGTCTATCTCTGTCTCTGTGTGTGTCGCTCTCGCCTCTCTTATCTATATGTTTGTCTCCTTTTCTCCCTCTCAGGTCTCTGCCCATACTTCTCTCTGTTTCCCTTTCTCTTTTCCTGGGCTGTAAGAAGCTCACTTGGGGTACGGAGGATGCGTGTATGTCAGGGTCTTTGGGTGATGCACACCAGCTGAGCTGTCTCTGGCCCTGACCCCCAGCACCCATGGTGCCCATGCCCCCCCCCCAAGGATGAAGAGCTAGTGTTCTGGAGAGGAGGGTCCAGGGCTGTCCGGTTAGGCCGGGTCTCCTCGTGGCTGCTCTCGGGACGTGCATGGTGTAGACACTCACCGGTCCAGTCCAGCGGTTCCTCGCCCTGCTGGCAGGTAGAGACAGATGGCTTGGCACTCTTCACGGTAAGTGCTGTCACCAGCAGCATGATGAGCGTTCCCTCGGCCTGCCTGCACACACAGGGCGCTCAGGCTGAGCAGCGATACTGAACCACGCTACCAGGGCCGAGTGCCGCCGTGGGAGGGAGCCAACGCCGGTGCCACCCCCATTTCCCTGTGGAGCCAGCAGCTGGCCCCAGCCTGCACACAGCGCTGGAAAGCAGGCAGGTGCCTTGTTTCATGGGACATGGGTCTCACAGCCTGGGCGGGACAGGAGGAGGTCCTCTGGGCCCCAAAGGAAATGGCTAGGACAGATGGACACTCACCCCAGGACAAAGACCAGGCCTGCAGCCGCTCCTTCCCCCACAGGGAACGAGCACTCAACAGCGAGCTCCGTGGCCACTGGTGCCACCGAGAACCCGAAGAGCCCAAACAGGGCACAGATGGCCGCCAGGGCCACCTGCTGTCCCTGCAGCTGGGAGACCTGGGGGCGGCAGGGTGGCCGAGGGAAGGAGCAGTGGAAACAATCAGGTACACTGCTCCATGAGCTCCGGGACGGGCTGGCGCGTGAGCAGGGAAGCCTCACCCCACCCAAGGCCGCTCAGTGGGGAGCAGTCCAGCCGAAGTAAACGGCCTGCTCGGCCGAGCTGCCCCGTCCCACCCGCCCACACCACCCTGCCCGAGACACCTCTCCCTCTGCAGGTGGGCTCCACACCGGGGATGCTCACCAGGGCAAAGGCCACACAGGTCATGGAGGTGAGGCAGAGCCCTATCTTGGTGGCCTCAGTGAAACACTTGGTCCGATCTACATACAGTCCAAGAGCCAGGGCACCCAGGATCCCAAACACGATGAAGAGAGCCCCACAGAGGCCTGAAAACTCCTGGAAGCAGGGAGGAGAGGGGGTATGGGAAGGGGGAGAAGCCAGTAGGGCTCCTCGGGGTCTATGCCATCACCAGGGCAGTGCCAGAGGCCCAGGAGGGAAAAGACCCTGGGCCGCCTGCCGGGGGGGGGGGTTCCCGCACTTTGTACCCATTCAGGGAAGGGCCTGACCCCTCTGGACGGCCTGTGGGACTTTGGTGTCTGTGCGCCCCAGAGCAGAGGTAGAAATATGTACCTCGCCCCACGGGCCGCGTGGAGGCAGAGGACACGGCATGGGAATGTGTGAGCAGCCACGGTGCGGCCGTCAGGGATGCGCACTGTGTGTGTGCAGCACGTTACCCCAGCAGAGACAGGACGGGGCTCACATGGATGCGCACTGTCCGTGTGCAGCACGTTACCCCGGCAGAGACAGGACGGGGCTCACATGGATGCGCACTGTGTGTGTGCAGCACGTTACCCCGGCAGAGACAGGACGGTGCGGCCGTCAGGGATGCGCACTGTCCGTGTGCAGCACGTTACCCCGGCAGAGACAGGACGGTGCTCACATGGATGTGCACTGTGTGTGTGCAGCACGTTACCCCGGCAGAGACAGGACGGTGCTCACATTGGAGTAGCCATTGACACAGAGGATCTGCTCCAGGAGGGCTGAGAAGCTAGAGAAGACGCCAATGCCACCACCAAAGCACACAGCCAGGATAACATAGGCCTTGTTCTGGACAAGCTGGAGAAGAAGGTGTCACTCAGCCCAGGAGCCCCGGAGCCCGGCACCCGGCGTCCAGCCCAGGAGCCCCGGAGCCCGGCACCCGGCGTCCAGCACCCACCAGCTTGAGCCCTTGGACGAAGTCCTCTGAGGTGGAGCTGGCAGCCCCGGCGGAGGGTGGGGTGGGGGGTACACTCTCCCAGAGACAGGTGGTGGACAGCAGGCAGGCTAGGGCGGCAGGCCCGGTGTAGACGCCAAGCTGGGTGACAAAGCACCATATTGGTGTGCGCATCCCACATACTCCAGCGTGCTCTGGGCCCGGGCTCGCTGTCCGCTTGCCAGCGACCACCCATCTTCCTCTGCAGAGCTGCAGGCCCAGGAGTAAGCTGCCTGCTCCACTCTGACCTGCTCCAGAGGCTTCATATGGAGCTCAGCTCTCAGAAGACTACCTAAAGACAACTTCCCTCTTGAAAATGGCGGCCTGACCTCCTCAGCCTCCAGACTCATCCCCTGATAGCCCCTTCACACGTAAGAAGCAGGTCATGCTGGTAGCAATGGGTACACGCATGTTCCTGTGTGTATACCATACCTATGCATATCGCACATACAAGGACATTCATATACACACACTAACACACACCGCATGTATGCCTACGCTATGCAGGACATATGTGCACCTCGTGAGCTGCTCACCATCACGGGGATGTCCTCTGCCTTCTTGACCAGGGCGGGTGACAGCACATTGGCCATAAGGATGCCCAGGGGGTTTGCTAGGTTGACAGATGTACAAAGAACTGCATTAGTTCAGCCAGGAGAGGCGTTGCCCCAGCCTTCTTGGCTTAAGCCCAAGCTCAGGGGCAGAGGGGCCTGTACCCGGCCAGGGGCAAGGCTTAGGCCAGGCAGCAGGCTTCACCCTGGACTCACACATGGTGCCTAGCATGTTGGCTGTGGTTCGCTGATGCTCTGGGAACCACAAGGCAGCCAGCTTGGCTGGAGAGAAGATGACCAGAGTCTGGGCCAGGGCACACAGGCTCTGGCCACTCATGAAGAAGGCAAACGGACTGGGAATCCCAGCTAGGCCGGGCAGAGCACGCAGTACACTCCCGGCAAAGTTCAGCCATGCACCCAGGATGGTCTGTGGGAGGATCAGAGGTTGACAGCCAGCTCGGTCTTCCCAGCCCCAGCCCACCGCGGGAGGCCACCGCTCCCACCCCCAAAGGCAGGGCCCCTCGCCCTAGAGCAGGCATGGTGCCCGCTCTGACTCACAGCCACACGGAGTCCCACAGAGTCCACGACCCAGATGGCTGCCACGCCAAACGGGATGGACACCACAAGGTAGATCAGTGACAGCCAGTTGATCTGCTCCATGGACAGGAGGAAGTGCTGAGCAACGGTGTCTGCCACAGGGGCAAAGCTGAGCCACAGCTGGGATACAAGGAAGCCATCCAGAGATAGAGCCTCTGCCTACCCAACTCTGCCCTGGTGCTTGTGGCCTCATGGAGTCGACCCAGGGAGGAGCAGGGGTATGGGCAGGTATACAAACACTGAGGGTATGATCTAACGTGAACTCTGTGTCCATCCTGCCATCCTGGGGGTGGTACCTGGGCAGGCCAGACAGCCTGCCTAGCAGTGAGCCAGCCTGTGGGAGCATGTATGGTGGCCAGCAACCTGGCCAGAGCCTTCAGGGCTGACCGCAAGCTCCACTAGCACCGACCTGACCCTCCAAAGGGCCTGGGAGCCCAGCCACGGTAGACGGCTAGGGCAGCTGTGGGCAGAGAGGAGGTTTCTACAATCATCACAGCAGACGGAGCCCAGGCCCACACAACAGTGCCATTTGTATTTCATCAGGGAAGAAAAGGCCTTAATCAGTCTGCAGGCATTTTAAATGCAGTGTGGGCCGGCAGTGCTGAAATCTTACCATACCTGCCCTCTAGACATCATCTCTACTCATAGGGCTGAGCTTCTAGGTCACCTCTGAACCTCCCCAAGCAGCGTGTCAAGCTGCCAAAGGTAGCTGCAGGGCCCAGATGCCGTTTTGTTTTTTGTTGTTGTTTTTGTTTTTTGTGGTTCTTTAAGAGGTCCCAGGGGCTGGGAAGGTGGCTCAGTGGTAGAGCACTTGCCT